TCCCAGGGGAGACAGCTGATATCATTCCATCAGGTCCCAGTCAGGCCGACGCCCCTGAGAGAGCTTTACAGATATCATTCCATCCGGCCTCAGTTTTCCGAGGCACTCTCTTGACTATAGGGTCAGAGGCTAATGCAGAGGGGGTGGTCTAAGAATCGGCTGTAAGGCGACACTCCAGAAAGGAAGTTTAGGAAAGCAGATGTACATTTTTCTATATTTTTGTGTTTTTTAAGAATGAATAACAATAGGAAATCTTTATATTTTAATAATTTATTTTAATAAAATGTCGCACCTTAACTGTATTTACTTAAAAATATAAATACTGTAATTATTTTCTGTGCATTTTCGACACATTTTGGAGAACAAACTTGAAATCAATTAACGCAGTGAAAAGGTTAATTACAATAAGCAGTATTCTCTGAAAAGTTTCCATGTTTATTTACATACATTTTAAACAGTTACCCCAATAAATCATTTTCCCACCTTATTTAATATTTACAGCTTTGGCTGGAAATAAAAAATCAAAACACAGCAAACCTGAGTAACTTACCTCCCTTTATCGCCCTGATCCTACTGTAGTCACTAAAACAGGGCTTGCTGCTTTCATCTAGCCTCTTCAGCACATGAGCCAAGGTTGCACAGGTGGCAGCTCAACTATAAAAAGTCAGAGTTTGCTTTGAGTGTTTTAGTTTGCTTATGAGGTCACTGCCAGAGGAAGCTGCCACTGATCCCAACAGGTTGGTACTCAAAAATGTGTAATGAATTAGTTTGAATGAGGTGATTAAAGGATAAATGAGTAGTGGTTAAAGTAAACAATTAAGAAAGACCTTTTGTGGAGGGAGCAGTATTGCCGCATTACTGGCAGTCAGAGTCAAGGTTCCCTAAAAACTTTCTGCAACCATTTATTTACAAACACATTTTAAACAGTTACTACAAGATATTTAAAATTTTTAAACAGTTAATACAAGAAAAATATAAAGTGAACTGTTTATACACTAAAAACTTTATGACAACATATTTTAAAAAGCAAATCTGGGAATTGAATTCCCTTATGACTCCAGGGCTCTAGTTAAAATATCTTTCTTCTATTGGTGTTATTGGTATTATTTCCATTTTATTCTATTGACGTACTCTTCCGTGAGCCAGAAAAGTGACGTTAGCAACTCTGTGAAAATCAGCAATCAATTTCTTGAGATTACTGATGTCTGAGAAATCCAGTCAATTTTTCACAAGGAACTGGCTTTTGCTCAGCTTCCCTCTCTCCCTGAGGTAAGTAAAGAGGTGTCGTCGTCTCCTCCATGTGACCTTTACCCCATACTTCTCCTCAGGAGTGTCCTTAACCAGAACAGGCCCAGGCTCTGGGCTCTCGGGAGCACTAGTACGAAGGGAGCCGTTTGGCAGGCTGTTTTCCCTCTGATCTGAGGGAACGAGCCCCTCCTGTACAGAAGATGACTCTGGAGTCTGGATATCAGGTGCAATGAATACGTAAGGTAAGTTTTGAAGTGCATGTGCTGACAGTTCCCCACAGCTGTGGGGACTGAACATTGGAACCAAGGGCCTTCCAGAAGTGTCCTTTTCTGATTGATTGAGGCACTCCCTGGTTAAGGGGATCCCAAGTGTGGCTGAACTGGTAGAAGACTGTGGACTCTCAAACGGTAGCTGTGGAAACTTGGAGGTGGTAGATTTTCTACTTGAATGTTTTGCCTGGTCTCGATGATGACGTTTCTGTTTCCGGTTGGCTGGGAACCAGCTTTCTCCTGTTGTATCAAACTGAGGTGATACCTAAGGATCACCAAAAAAAAAAAAAAAAGGTGAGGTGAGCTAAGTACCAAGTATAAACCTAAGGTAGGCAACTACATCTAATGACCAGCAACCAGAATCCTAAATGGAACCCACTACAGTAATGGACACTAAACAAAAATACCTGTCTAATGGGACAGTAATAGGAAGGGATATAAGATTTGGGCAATCTAACATTTAAGTTTCTTCTATCATGGAGCAAGTATTATGCTTCGTCTAAGCAATTCTGAACAAGTTATATTTATTAAGCACTCCTAAGCAGAGTTCATGCTTTTGTTATACTATTATACTTCCTTGACTTTTATAACTATAGTCTCTTCCCAGGGCTTTTGAAACTGTCAAAATATGACATTTGCCATTTCTGTGAGGTTTATTTGAGGTTCTATCTATTAACGAGTAAATAAGAGTACCTAGCTAACTACCTCTCATATGAAGCTCAGGAAACAATCTCATTTTCTACTATTGTAGTTCTGCCATTTATCTGGCTTTTTCACCCAGCTACTGGGTAATGAAACTTTTATACTAAATTCTTTCAGAGGAATGTGGGGGGAAGACCCCAATTCCAACCAACCCATGCCTCAGTTTGAATTTAGAAAAGAAGATGTATCAGAAGAGATGGCTGACGACAGACAGAAAGAGTATATTGCCTCCTTGTCTCTGCCCCCATGAATCTTATTCTTTGGAGGCCCTGGTTCAAGAGGCAGAAGAGTCAGTGTTCTGAGAAGTCTAACAGAGTAAAAGTCAAAGTACGAATCCCATTGCCTACCCAGGAAGTGATGGTGGCGTGGTCAATGGGCTTACTGGGCACAGGTCTAGTGTGGGTAACGGGAAGCCCTGGCGATCCATAGCGGTGTTTGGGGCCCTCCAGTGGCTGTTGGTGGAACAGCAGCTGGGCTTTCTGGGATGTTTGGCGGCGTTTTTTTCTGGGAGGCATCAATAGGTGAATGAAGAGCAGTTAGTAACCACATGGTGCTGGCTGTAGTCAGGTCCGGGAAGAGGCTACCACTCCAGCCCATGCCTGCAGAGACGAAACAAAAGCTCTTCCTCATACTTGGCCAATCAGTCCTACTATCAACTTACCACCCCCACCTCAAGGTTGTGGGGAGCACAGCATCCTATACCTGCACTACCACCTTAAAACACGGTAGTTCACATTCAACATTTGTTCAATGAACATGTATCGAGCATATGTTAAGTGCCATGCTGGGTGTTGGGAATTTAAAGATGAATAACCATTTATTCCAGGATCATTTATTGAGTATCAAGCACTTGCAGGGACAAAGAGATCATATGGTCCCTGTTTTCAAAGACTGGAGAAAAATCAAGAAGGATAAGGGGTTAGGCTGGCTGAGTGCTTTTTTAGATAAGGTTATCAGGGAAGGCCTATCTGAAAAAGTGATTTTGAGCAAAGACCTGAATGAAGGAGAACAAGCAAACAATAGAAAGATGTGAGCAAAGAATATTCCAGGCTGCAAGAATAGTAAATGCAGAGATCAAAAGGTGGGAATATGTCTGGCTCATTCAAGAAATGGTAAGGTCAGCATAGCTGAGCTGGAGAGTGGTAGATGAGAACAAGTTCATGTGACACAGGGCTTTATAAGCAAGATTAGGGACTCTGAATTTAATTATTCTTAATGTGATAGGAAGCCTCTGAAAGGTCCTGGACAGGGCAGTGACATAATCTGACTTATACTTTTTTTTTTTTTTAAGATTTTTATTGGGGAATTGGGGGATGGGAATAGTGCTGGGGAACCGGGGGAAGGGGAACAGACAAGCTGCTGTCGTTTTGTTCCTCAGTCCAGTTGTGGAGGACATCGCTTCACAGGCCCAAGTTGACACCATCATTGTGCTCTTCCCCGGCGAGGCCGATCAGTCGCCAGCCTCTGGACGGCCACTCACGCTGGCTGCCGGCCACACACGACAGCCCATGGCAACCCATTGCAGCAGGGGTTGCAGCCTACGCCGTCGCTGGTCGCTGGCGACTCACAGCAGCCCAGCTCCAGGTGGAGCTGTTGTTCAGCATCTTAGCTGTGGAGGGCAGTGTCACTGGCCCTCATATGTGGGATCCGAACCAGGGCCCTCTGGTGTCCCAAGCCAGCTCCCAACCCATGCGCCACTCGGCTGGCCCTGACTTACACTTTTAAAAGATAACTTGAGGTGCTTTGTGAAAAAAGGTGGGTTGGGGGAGGGGGATGAGAAAGGTTGCAAGAACCCAGTTAGAAGGCTATACTGCAGGAGTCCACCAGAGAGATGAGGGTAGGCAATGGCCACAGTGAGAAGTGTTGAAATTAACCAGTCTCAAATGGACACTACATTGTGCAGCAATCGGCTATGTTTCCCTGATCAACTCATTTTCCACAAAGATTATCTTAAAACTTTTCCACCTTTCTTAAAATTTTAGAACTCTCCTTCTCTCTCAACAAATGACCTTCTTTCCTTCTTCATAAAGAATACAGAAGACGTCAAAGAAAATACATTTTCCAGAATTCAAACATGCAAGCCAGCATATGTCTGCATCCATCCTCAATAATTAGAGGTCAGTAATTAGAGGTCAGTCCTTTTTTGCTATTCTAAGGCCTTTCCTCTGGCTGTGCTTTGGAGCCTTCCTCACTCTCTACACCTTTCTTAGGCAATTATCTGCTCACATTTCAATAATCACATAGACTTAAGTATTTATATATTCAGCTTAGAATTCTTCATACTCAGGGCCCATATATCCCGCTGTTTCCTTGACAGCAACTAGATGTCTCAATTGCACCTCAAACCCGTCACGTTTAAAACTGGATTCCTAATCATTTCCTCTGCAACTCCGCCACAAAAGTGATTATCTTCCAGGGTCCTTGCTCAGGGAACATCATCCATCATTCATCCAGTTATGTAGCCAGAAACCTTGACATTTTCCTTTCCCCTCTCCCATCCAACACAACACCAAGCCCTGTCAATTTTCCCTCTTAAACTTGTCTTCCTTCTCTCTTCCCTCTCTTCACCGTCTCTCTCTCCACACCACCCTTTAATTCCAACAATTCTTGCTGGGAGTATTGCAATAGCCTAACTGGTCTACCCCAATCCACTCTGGCCTCCCCACCCCCCACCCCCTGCAGAGACATCTTTTAAAATGCAAATCTAATCTTGACTCACTTCTTCTTAAAATGTTTGAGTTTTGGATAAGGACCAACTAACTCCTCAGTTATGACTAAGATCCTGCCTGTTTCCTCAGGTTCCTTCATCTCACACCACACTCCATTCAGGTCTCTTAGCTCACACTCCTCAGATACGCTTCAGCCTTTGTACTCACCATGCTCCCTCCTGCACCCCAGCTTTTCACACCTTATTCCCTTTGTTTTGAGAATTTCCTTCCCTTCTTTGCATAAAGGCATCAGATCACACACTTAGCTTTAGTTCATCAAAAAAGCCTTTCCTGACTTACCTAAAGCAAGAGCTCCTTATTGTAGATATTATCACCGATCTCTAATTTATCACCTCACAACTATAATTTTCCATTTGTTATTTGATTCTTTCAAAAGGGCTGTGCCTCCCCTGTCTTCCCATTAGACTAAGAGTAAGGAAAGAACCTCCTTTGCCACTCACTGTATCCTAGTAGGTGCTCAACAAAGTTTGTTGAGTAAATTAACAAAGTACTTTATTACATATAAAAAAGATTGGCTTTGACATGGGGGTGGATGAGACAGATCTGGACTTAAAGATTTAGGACTGAGGTCGGATTTGTGGTGTGTAATTTTTTTTTTTTAATGGAGGAAGCTTGAATAAGATTATATGCTGCCCTCAAAGACTCTCAGTCCAGTCGGGGGAACTAGACGATCGGTAGTTGGAAGTACAAGTCCCCCCAGTAAGGAAATCAACCAGGGTACACTTTGAAAAGGTGGGAAGACCCCGAGGAAGGCGTGGAGGAGGGTCCCTGGGATGATTAGGGAAGCGACTGGACCGCGCGCGGGAGAGCAGGCTGAAGGGGGCACAGCCGGTGCCGCCGTCACCCCAGGTCCCCAGCTGTCTCCGCTAGCGCGCCACCGCCGGGGCCCAGTCTGCATTCTCCCTGCCTCCCACGGTCGCTCCCTCCCCACGAGCCGGCCCAGCGGCCTTACCCGCCCGGCAGCGTCCCAGCCGCTGATCCCCTGGCCGCCGCCGCGTTCGAGATCAGAACGTGGAGACAAGGGCCAGCGCTGATTGGCGACGCTTCGTCACGTGACCTCAACGCTCCGCCGGCGCCAATTTCAAACAGCGGAACAAACTGAAAGCTCCGGTGCCCGACCCCACCCCCGGCCCCCAGCCCAGGACCCCCCTCCCCTCCCGGGATCCCCCGGGATTCCCCACCCCTCCCGCACCGCCGGGGACCCGGCCGGCTTGGCGCGAGTCCCCGTCCGGGACCCTGGCTCGGCCCCCAGGTTGAAGGAGCCCGGAGCCCGCCCTAGGAGCCACAGCCCAGCAGCTGCGGCGGCTGCAGCCGTGAGGTGAGCGGGAGCGGAGGAATGAAGGCCGAGACCGGGCCTTGGCGGAGGCAGGGAGCAAGGTCTCGAGTGCCGAGGTCAAGGGGTCCAGCAACAGGGCGCGGGACAGGAATGGAGGTTTGAGGTCACCCGGGAAGGAGGTCTGAGCGAGGGTGCAAACTTTTTCTGCATCCAACCCCCTGGCCTGCCCTCACTTCTTTCTCAAAGCACCCCTTGGCCTTCCCTGAAAGTTTGACCCCTGTACCCTGCCTTGCAGCCTCGGGAGGGCTGGGGTGGCCCACTTTCCTAGGCAGACTGCAGCTGGGATGAAGATTGAGCTGATTCTCCGTTAAGTCAAAGACAAACCTACCCACACACTCCCCTGCTTCCAGGCGTTCTCACCATTATACCACACTGCCTCCACTACACCATCTTAAAGGACCCTTTTGGTTCTTGAGAACCCTGCAAGGTTTCCCTGGTCAGCATGGGGGTGAGGTCAGTGGACTCACTCTGGACGTCTCCTGGGCTGGATAAAGTGTTGGCAATGATAGGAAGAGGCTGGTCAGAGAGTGGAAGGGAAAATTAAGCCTTAGACCAAAAAGATATCTTTTGGGAGTGGAGAGGGAATAATAGTATCTACTGATTGATGGGGGGAAAAGGGAGGCTTGCAGAGATATGAGGTGGAAGTAAAACTGAGATTTTAAATTAGAGGAAACCTAGATATAAAGGAAAGGGAGGAGGCCGATGGCAAATGTCATATGCATGTGACAGTCATTTTTAGGGAGATATCAGATCTAAAAAACAAGACAGCCCTCTGTCAAAGTACCTGTATTTAGATAGGATTACACACTTTTACATAATGGTAGAGTATTCCATATATCTATTAAAATCAACAAAGTACAAATTTTTTTAAAGATAAAACTATGTTTTTAGCATTACAAAAACCACCTTACCATATTGATGACAGTACATTTTAGTAGTCAGGAGATAGGAACTATAGTCTTGGTTCTGGAAAAGAAATTAAGTAATACAGTAACATGCTTAGAAAGTTAAAAAATATGAATAAGTACTAGAATGTCACTATATAAATATTTTGCAAATTGTGAAAGAAAAATGTACTTTTTAAAAATCAATGCAAGGATAATAGCCTGTGAAATGAATGGCACCCCTTACTGCACAATCTGCATGACTTTACCATGGGCCTCGAATTGAGCAGTTTCCCTTTTATCAGAGGTCTTGTGAACTGGGGATGGTTTATTCTGTGCTGTGGCAATAGTGCAATCGTACAATCTGCCTTTCTCCTCTGATGCTATTGGCACTGATCCTTTTACTTATAAACTATGGTGGTATAAAAATGTAAAAGCTGTAACCTAAAATAGATTATGGGAATCAGAGAGTTGTCAGGACTCCTAATTACCAAATGTCCTCCTATTCCAGCATTCCTGTCCCTACAGTCACTACAAATGATCTGGATTCTAGTAGGCAGATATTTCTGCGTTTTTGTAACTGTTGCACTTGTTTCTATAGCCAAACATTCCACATTCAGCCGAATCCCACTTTCCCTATTTGTATTGCTTCTGTTTATTTCAGCTTTAGCTCTCTTTAGTAGAACTCATCTCCTTATTGTTTGAGGTCTTTACAAAGGCCCAGGAAGCATTCACCTGGGCCTGTGGTCTCACGCTCCTGGTCATAGGAAGAGGAATGTCTCTCTCTAACAGAAACTCCTTCTCGGCCTAACAGATCTCTGACATCGTGCTGCTCCTTGCACTTTCCAGGGTCCCTGCTTGTGATTCTCAATGGAGAGTGAAAGCACAGATTCATAATGAAAACCAGCCCCCGTCGGCCACTGATTCTCAAAAGACGGAGGCTGCCCCTTCCTGTTCAAAATGCCGCAGGTGAAACATCCAAAGAGGAGCCGAAGAGACCCCCTGCCCAACAAGAGTCTGGTCAAGGGCAGGCCTCTAAGGAGGTGGCAGAGCTCAACTCTTGCAGGTTTCCAGCTGGGATCAAGATTATTAACCACCCCACCATGCCCAACACCCAAGTGGTGGCCGTCCCCAACAATGCCAATATCCAGAACATCATCACAGCATTGACCGCCAAAGGAAAAGAGAGTGGCAGCAATGGGCCCAACAAATTCATTCTCATCAGCTGTGGGGGAGCCCCCACTCACCCTCCAGGACCCCAGCCTCAAGCCCAAACCAGCAGTGATTCCAAGAGGACAGAAGTCATCACCGAGACCCTGGGACCAAAGCCTGCAGCTAAGGATGTGAATCTTCGAGGACAACCTGGAGCCCTTCCCGGGCAGAGATGGGAGAGCTGTGGTACGTGATCTGCCAGGCAAAGGGGGAGGAGCCCAGCTTTTCCTTGTTGGTTGCAAGGACTGCAGTCAGTCGTGTAAGATTCTTATATTAGACAGGCATCTAGGCCAAACCAGGGGAAAGTCTTGTCTTTCTTCATTCTGAAACCCTGACCCAGATCCTTTGGGCATTGTCCAAAGGGTTGTAATGATCATTTAACACTTCTATTGCCTTCTTTATATTGGAAAAGGATTTGTGTATTGTTTCTATTTGTCCTTCCCATTGACTGTATAAAGAAGTAGGAATCTTTGTCCATCTTAATAAAGGAGAAAACTGAAGTATGAAGAGGAAAAGTTATTTTCTCTATGCAGATACTCAGTAACTCCTTTATAAGGTTGCTTTGACTGATCTCTAGGCTCAGTGTGGCTTAGAGGGAAATGCAACTTGAACTATGCCCCTGAATTTCTCCTGAAATCCATAATGGGGCAGAGTACCTGAGGGCCGCAATAGATTCTGCCTGTGTTCCCTGTCCCTAAGGGTAAAGGTCTTGGAAAGGTGATCCCTAATCACCGACTTTGACAGGCCTGCTGGGCATCAGATCAGGCAGCTAAGTGGCGTCTTGAATTGTTTCCCCTCTAGCTGGCAGTGAGGCAGCAGGATGCACTCTTGACAACAGCTTGACCAACATCCAGTGGCTTGGAAAGATGAGTTCTGATGGACTAGGCTCCTGCACCATCAAGCAAGAGAAGGAGGGCAAGGAGAATCGTCATCTGGAGCAGAGTCAGGTTAAGGTGAACTGTTCTGTCATTCACTAGGGAAATCAGAGCCCGTGCAGAGAGCTTCTAAGAGGGGAAATGGATCACGTGGCCTGTGTGGCAGAAATGCTAGGTTCTGGTGTTAGCGCTTCACTTAGTGAGATTCGATTCTGTATAACTTTGGAGCTACCTTTCTGCCTGAGATCTTTCTCCCCTACCTGCAGGGAAATATTCTTGCGGGCAGATTCCTCTGGCTTCATTCCATCAGCACTGAATTTAGTACCCCACCCTCAGTAAGTATTCAGGAAATGATGAAGAGGTTTTAGTTTGGAAAGCCACTTAAACTTTAAAGGGCATCCCAACAGTATGAAAGGAATACAGCATTTTTCTAAGAAATACAGCGTCTTCTAAGAAAACCAGGTAGTTTTCTTAGAAGATACATCAATAGCAAATAAAGTAAGTGAGATGTGAATTTTAAATTCTTCTCCAGCAATCAAAATTGATTTGACCTGATTGTGTGGCCTGGGGTTGTTTTTCACAATTACCACACACCTTGATATACCCTTTAATCGTTCATTCCACAACCTTTAAAAGTAAAAATTTACATGGATGTGTACAAAAGTAAAAACTGAGTTGTTCACTTTGAAACTTGTGTACTTTTTATAAAGTTATTTATATAAATATATAATGTAATAAATTTATATTTATATAAATATATATTAAATAAATATAAACTTATAAATATGTATGTAAATGAAATAAAACTCAATATTTTAAAATGTGAATAATCAGATCCTTGCCTGAGACTTAGCCAAATGTGCGTTTTGCAGACATGCATCTGTCCTGTACTGTTGGAGATATTTCTCTCACACAGACATTGAAAGGAGATGGATTTATTCACATCACATCAGGAGTAGGAATAGAACCAAGACCTAGGTCTCTTGGCCCCCAGGTCTGAAAATGGGTATGGTTTTAGTGTAAAACCAATGCATTAAGAATCATAATATATACCTGAACTTTCCTGAGAGGTTTTCAACTAGCAAAAACTGGAGTTCTACTTATTATTGGGCAGTATCTTCCACAAAATGAATAAAGACAGACAAGTGGTTCTACATTGGCTGGGGACTGGATGGGATCATCTCTAAGATCCTTCCTAATCATAAGCTTTTATTCTATGAAATATTGGTCTCAGATGAATTGGTTTGTAGTGTGATTTTATGGGATACAAGGCTTCTCTATGGGATGTTCTTCGAGGGGGGCTAGAGGAGGTCTCGTGAACGCTACCATGTCGTTCCCTTTTCTCTCTCCCTCTGGCTTCTTACAACCCTCAGGTAGAGGAGCACCCAGGAACATCAACATCCTGTCAGGACTCTGTGTCCGAGCGGCCCCCATACTCTTACATGGCCATGATACAGTTCGCCATCAACAGCACTGAGAGGAAGCGCATGACCTTGAAAGACATCTACACTTGGATCGAGGACCACTTCCCTTATTTTAAGCACATGGCCAAGCCAGGCTGGAAGGTACTGTGTCCCAAACAATCAAAGTCAAGTCCACTCTGGCCTGACAGTGTGTCTACACAGATGTGCAGCAGTCAGTGTCTGCTGTGCTGAGGGAGAGTTAAATGCAAAGGATGCTAGAACTATAAACAGTTATATCTTTTGGACTATGACTTGATCCTGTTGAATCCAAGCAAAACCATCCATAAGCGCTCTGTAGCCACATCTGTCACTACCTAAAGTTTATGGGGGCTTTTCAGTGTAGCACTAAGTTCACTTTTGTGCTGCACTGAACAGCACCTGGAGTGACTAAGTGGCCTTATGAAAAGATCTTCTTTAAAAAATGCTGTCTGTGAGCCTCGTGATTCACCCCCGTAGATGTCACATGTTATTTCTAGAAGGCAGGGATTCTCTCTTCATTTTATTCATGGGAACACATGCCTGGGAGTCATTGCAACTCACACCACAATGTCAGCGCACAGTTCAGGTCCTCTGACAGATGCTCAACTCCAAGCCAAAGCTTTTTTGTTTGGCTCTCCCCACAGTAGAACTTCTAACTTCACACTCTTGCCGCAACTAAATTTCCTAGTTTCTTAATTTTTTTACTCATCTCTCTTGCTGTTGATCATTGCTTCACAGTCTCCTCTTTCCTAGTTGGTGTTTCCTTCTTCACAACAACCTAAGGAATGACCCCGGCCTTTATCCCCATCAGATAGACGGGTTTATGGCTGAGGTGGGCAGCTCTGCAGGGTGGAGGTCAGGGAAAGAGGTGGACACTTCACAAAGCCTGTGCTGGGTACCATGGGTGAGGCCTGAGGCTGATTTCCCCACAGGAAACATCAAAGGTGATGTTTCTGAAGCTAAAGTAGCTCATAACCGGTTGTCTTTCTTTCCTTTCAGAATTCCATTCGCCACAACCTTTCCCTGCATGACATGTTTGTTCGAGAGACGTCTGCCAACGGCAAGGTCTCCTTTTGGACCATTCATCCCAGTGCCAATCGCTACTTGACTTTGGACCAGGTGTTCAAGGTGAGTGTCCTGGTGTCTTCTGAATGGGGTCAGAGTTGGAGGTGGTCATATCCATCTCAGAAAGGAAACAAGTTGTCCTTGTGATGAGCTTACCTGATCAGGGCAGAGTTAGAAACCAGCCAGCCCATAGGTGATTTGCATAGAGTTCACCGGATTAAGTACAGTTGACAAATGCCAGATGACACACTTTGGTGCTAAACCAGGCCATGGAGAGTATTGCTTTGATCCAAATAGAGGACTTCACGGGGCAGTGTTTCCCTAACTGCCCTGTGGATAAGAGCTGCCTGGGATGCTCGTTAAAATACAGCTTCCCAGGCCCCTGTCTGGGGGCTTCTGATTCAGTGGGTCTGGGATGGGCCCAGAAATATGTGTTTTTAACAAGCACCTCAGGTGATTCTTACAGAGAAAGTCTGAGAAAACTTGTCTTAAAAAAGCCCTTTAAAGGCCGGCCAAGTGGCTCAGTTGGTTAAGAGCTCGCTCAAGAATGCAAGCTCTAAGCAACAGCAGTTCAATTTCCGGCCCGAGCTGAGCTGCCACTGAGCTGCCAACAGGTGGCAGGATGGCTCAGCTAAAATAAAAATAATAATAATAATAAAAAAATTAAAAAGCCCTTTAGCCTGGAGACCCAAAACCGAGCTAGCACTTAGAAGCAATTGCTTTGGGATTTCAGAGTGCCCATATGCTCCTAGCCGTCACCATTCTCCTGGGAGGGACAGTTGTCCAGGGTGGCCAGACAGGAATAGGTGTTTTTCCCAATGTGGTCAGACTGATTGACCGTGCTGGTGGTAACTTCATCTCGTTTCTCTCCCACAATGCATGACCGCCACCAGCCACTGGACCCAGGGTCTCCACAATCGCCCGAGCACTTGGAATCAGTAAGATTCTTTCCGTCTGGCTCGGGGCTTGGCCTTGTTTTCCTTTCACTGCTCAGCATGGCTTTAGTGGACAGGGACAAGACACCAAGCAGGGGAAGGGAGCCTGTGGCTGGGTGACTGCCAGCCCTAAATGCAGGGCACCCTGAGCTGCTGGGAGTGAGGCAATTTGTGAGTGCCACCTCATCTCCCCAGAAGGCGGGCTCATGCCCGCTTCTCGTCCCCCTCACATCAGGAAGGTGCACTGAGCAGAGCGGGTGTGGCAAGTGGACATGCCACGGGCCTGGTGCGTGCAAGACAGCGGCCAGGGTGCATGGCAGGGCCTGGCAGGGGCCTGGCAGGCGGCGGTGTTGCCTCTCATTTGTCGCCCTGGCTTTTCTTTGCCACTCACAGAGCTCCATGCTTTAGCATCCCTTGGGGGTGGTGAGGACACATGGATGAGTGCTGAGACCATCTGCCACCACACATCTGTGTGCTGTCCACCTTTGCCCCTAACTTTGGCGGCAGTGCCCACCTGCAACCTCCCAGAGCAGCTTCCATTTCTGGGCTGTCGGTTAGCTCAGTGCACGGTGCCAGAGCAGCCAGTGGGTGCCCCCACCTTCTCCCTGCCTCATTAACCAGGGTTTCTTTCTCTCCCTGTCTGCCATATGCAGCAGCAGAAACGACCCAATCCGGAGGTCCGCCGGAACGTGACCATCAGAGCCGAACTCCCACTGGGCGCACGTTAGTATGGGAGCGTGGGCTTCAGGCCTGACCCTTGTTCTGGGCGCATGGCTTTAAGGGGTCAGACTCCGGATTCTGTGCTCAGCTCAAAGGGGTCTGAGCCCAGAGAAGGAGAGCACAGCTCCTGGGGTTGAGAGGGGGTATGTCCCTGGACCCCTGCCCCTCATCACTCCTATTTCCTCCCAGGGCGGAAGATGAAGCCACTGCTCCCCCGGGTCAGCTCGTACCTGGTGCCCATCCAGTTCCCGGTGAACCAGCCCCTGGTGTTGCAGCCCTCGGTAAAGGTGCCATTGCCCCTGGCAGCTTCCCTCATGAGCTCAGAGCTTGCCCGCCATAGCAAGCAAGTCCGTATCGCCCCTAAGGTGAGTGGCTTCTGCTTTCCTCTGAGGATGAAAAGTATAACGCACTTTGCTGAATGATCCTTGAGAAGCTTATAAATCTAGTTGGGGAGACGAGGCATAAATACAGAGGAAAACTTAATTATAAAAGCTAAAAAGGAATTTGGATTACAATGTAATGGTGTCAGAAGGCCCATGAACACCTGACCAGTTTATAAGAATTCAGACAAGGTGATGATGATAGACGGGCTGGGAGGGTTAGGGAAGAGTTTGCAAGGGAAGTAGGTCTTAGAAACAAGTGGATTTAGATAAGCAAACAGGTGTGGAGAGAGTATGGAGGCAGGAAATGCCAGTTTGTAGCCAGTAATAGTGGAGGGAATGGGTCAGTCTAGCTCAGCGTTTCTCAGCCTCGGTACTGCTGACATTTAGGGCTGGATTACTGCTGACATTTTGCTGGGGGTGAAGGGGTGCTGTCCTGTGCACTGAAGGATGTTTAGGGACATCCCGTGTCTCTTCCCCTAGAAGCCAGGAGCCCTGCCCCACCCCCAACCTCCCAGGGATGGAATCACCCCTTGATGGCACATCACTGGTCTAGTTTGAGGGGAAAGTGAGGAAAGTAGTTAAGGCCACACTGCGATGGGCTGCCAAGTCTGGACTTAACCTCTGGAGAAGGTTTTGAGAGCAGGAGCTGACCTATAACAAAGTAGGGGAAAAGGCCCCGCCCCTCAGTGAGATGGAAATAGCACGGGCTCTGGAGTTTAGAGAGGCTTGGGTTTGCTTTTGTTTTATTTAAAAAATATTTTTAAAATATATATAAAATTATACGTATCACTATATATAATTTTACATACAGGTATCAATGTGATCGTAGCATGTATGTGTATTGATTTTGTTTTAATGCAGTCTTTCTCCTCCTCCTTTTTGTCTCCCCTCCATTTCCCCTTCACCCACATCACCCTTGCTCCTCAAGATAACCCATATTGACAATTTAGTATGCTCTCTTCCATACTTTGTCTATGCTGTTAGTATAACAGACATACATATATAGCCATAGCCATTTTATATATTCACACACAACACAGACCATTGAAAATGGGATCATATTACACACTTCTGCTTCATGGAAATTCTTCTAAATTACTTGGCATAGCTCTAATTCATTGTCTTTTAATGGCCACATAATATTCCATGGTGTGGCTATGCCATAATTTTTCCAACCATTTCAACTTTTATGGGCACATTTTGTTTCTAGTTCTTTTGCCTTATGAACAACACTGCAATAAATACCTTTGCGAGTAGCTTTCTTACTAGTGCTTTTATGTCTGTAGGATAGAGTCCCAGACATGAGATTGCTGAGTGAAGAGGGATTTTAAATTTTACTAAATATTGCTAGATTGCTTTTCAAAAAAATCTGTGATAATTCACATTTCCACCAGCAAGGTATGACAAGACCTGTGTCTTTCTTTGATAGCAATTGGTGATATTAATCTTTTTAATATTTGCTCATCTAATATGCATAAATGATGTCTCCATAAACTATTTCATCTTTCTTTGCTTAGCAGTAAGTGTGAGCACCTTCTCATTATATTTGGTCACTTGGCATGGTTCACTATGAGATGTTTATTTATGGACGTTGTCCATTTTTCTACAGGGTTTTGTTAATATTTTGTGGGAGTTCTTTGTTATTAAAATATTAACCTTGTCTTTTATGCTGAAGATTTTTTTTACTTCTATTGTTTGTTTCTTAATTTTGTTTATGGTATCTTTTGCCACCATAAGATATTACATTTTTATATAGTCAAATATGTTTTGCTTCTCTTTTACAGCTTCTGGGTTTCCAGTCTTGGTTAAGAAGGTCACCCCCACCCTCAGATTGTACATGTAGTCTCCTAGATTCTCTTTCAGGATTTGTATGGTTTTCATTTTTCTGTTGTCTTTGTGTATGGTATAAAATAGACATCTGATTTTATTTTATTTCAGATAGATAATGATTATGCCAGCACCATATTAAATGCTCTCTCTTTTCCCCCTGGAATTGAACTACCACCTTCATCATATATTCTCGTATTTAGTAGTTTTTAAGACTTTGAAAAGACAAAAAGAGGATCAGTAGCAGCGTGTCACTTACTTTAGTCATGATTTTGTGTCCTGCCTGGTGACTGGGTTGCATCTCGAGGCTTCAAGAGCTCCCTTCCACCTTGTCCCTGCTTGCCTTTCAGATGCTGCTGGCTGATGAGGGGGTAGCCCCTCTGCCCACTGCAGGACCAGTGAAAGAGGAGAAACCCCTGCTTGGAGAAGGGCTGTGCCCTCTGCTTTCAGTTCAGTCCATCAAGGAGGAAGAAGTCCAGCCTGGGGAGGCAATGCCCCACTTAGGGCGGCCCATCAAGGTAGAGAGCCCGCCCCTGGAAGAGTGGCCCTCGCCATGCCCATCTGTCAAAGAGGAGCTGTCTCAGTCCTGGGAGGACTTGTCCTACTCTCCCACTCCAAGGCCCAAGAAGTCCCACAGTGGGCTCAAGTCCCCAGCCCGGTGCGTCTCAGAAATGCTCGTGATTAAACGAAGGGAGAGGAGGGAGATGAGCCGGTCTCGAAGGAAACAGCACCTGCTGCCTCCCTGTGTGGATGAACCCGAGCTGGTCTTCTCAGAGGACCCTGGGACTTCGCGACGAGCCCCAGAGCTCGCTCTCCCCTCAGAGTCCTCTGCGCCTGCCTCCCAGCTTGTCTACTCCCAGGGGGAGGGAGGACCTTTCAAGACACCCATTAAGGAGATGCTGCCCATCTCCTCTACCCCAAGCAAATCTGTCCCCCCCTTGACCCCTGAATCCTGGAGGCTCACACCCCCAGCCAAAATTGGGGGGCTAAATTTCAGCCCAGTACGAACCCCCCAGGGACCCTTTGGCCCCTTGCCTGACTCTCTGGGGCTGACAGATCTCAGTACCACCCCACTGAAAAATATCCCCCTCTTTGACTCACCCCGAGAGCTCCTCAATTCCGAGCCCTTTGACCTCACCTCTGACCCCTTCAGCAGCTGTTCCCCTTCAGATATGGAAGTCCCCAAGCCAGGCTCCCCGGAGCCACAGGTTGCCAGCCTTGCAGCCAACCGTTCCCTGACTGAAGGCCTGGTTCTGGACACAATGAATGACAGCCTCAGCAAGATCCTGCTGGACATCAGCTTTCCTGGCCTAGAGGAGGACCTGCTGGGCCCTGACAACATCAACTGGGCTCAGTTCATCCCTGAGCTGCGGTAGAGACCTGACCTTACCCTTGCTGCTCAAGCTATCACTCTCCTGGGCACTCATGGAGCTGGGCCGTCCAAGGCCTCTGAGGAAGGACAGCAGGCAGGGACTGTTCACTCCTTGAGCCCCACCTTGCCTGGTCATGCCCAGGCAGACGTCACGCCAAAGCTGCCGCTGGGCCCTCTGCAAGCAGCAAGGCCCTGGTGACTGGTCTCTGCTACCCTGTGCTCCCCGAGAGGACCTGAGTCCTAACTCTCCCTGTTATAGCTAAGAGCAAAGACAAGGGTGAAACAAATTAGGAATTCCTCAAACTTTGAGTTCTATGCCCAGCAGTCTCTTACGTTCCCTTCTTTTTGCAGGGGGCCCCTTGTAAATAGTGTATATTCTCCAAAAGTATCCTCTAATTATAAATGTAAGCTTATTTCTTTAGATCATTATCTAGAGACTGCCAGAAGGTGGGTAGGATGACAGCGGTTTCAGTTGGCTTCTGTTCCTTGCTTTTAGTTCCTAGAGAAGGGGGCACCTGCAGTACACGGTTTCTTCCAGGCCCAAGGTACCTGCCTCAAGGGTCCTTTACTGTAGGCCCCCAGACAAGCGGATCTGCTTGCCAGGGTCCCTCACTGCCCCTCCCTCCCACCTCCTCCTGTTTCCAAGTCAGCTTTCCCACAAGAAGTCCTGGTTAAGAGGCCTCTTGTGATGGGTGGAGTTGAATTGGGGGTGGGGGATGGATCCATCTAAAGCAAAGAGTGGGTGCCCAGATATGCACCCATGAGATGTTTCTCTGATAATGTCCCTAATCATGCCAGAGAAACTAGCATCGATGAGAACTTGGCCCAAGGCTTGAGAAGGCGGAAAGGGCCCTTAACCACCTGGCTTCCTTAGCTTGTACCGCAGCTTTGCAAAGAGCCACCCTGGGCCCCAGCTGACCACATGCATGTGAGCCAGCTCCAGAACACTACTGTAACCACTACTCAATAAAATCCAGGGTGGAAACGCTGGTCTCTGTGGTGTCTCGGGTGTCTGGTCCCTATGGCATAAGGAGGGGGTGGAAAAGAAGATGGGTGGTGATAAAGATGGTGGTAATGGGGAGGAGGCAAGGCCTGAAGCCAACATGAAGAAGCACTTGAAGGAGAGTGCAAACGCCTTTAGCATAGATCACCTGTCTCACACCCTGCACAGGAACACAGCCTTTCTAACAGAAACTGGAAGCTTTCCCGATGCTGGTCCTGCTCAGCTAGTCCCCAGTGAAGGAAAGGCCTGCATAGGGGCAGACTTCACAGAACACTGGGAAGGACGGGCCCACTTACGGGTCCCTCATGACCACCTCCACCCCTAACCCAAGGCCTGGAATCCAGCCTGCCCTGCTCTGCGCCCCAGGCCTTCCTGGCAAGTCCCCAGAAGCAGCTCCCTTTACCTTCTTTTGCAGTCAAAACTTAAAAGCCCCATCTCTTGCCTGTCTCACCTGAAGCTGCCAGGGCTCAAGGGACTAATGAGCCCTCCTCCCTGTGTCACCACTCAGGAAGCATCACCATAGCAACCCCAGCAGCAAACAATGCTGCCAGTAAGACCTTCCCTACAGAGCTGCCCCTCCCAGCTATCAGGCTCAGAAGAAAAATGGCCTGTAACCCACGAAGATCACCCAGAGGGCGGAATAATCCATCGCATGCCAGGGAACATTTCCTGCAGGTACGGGGCCAAGCCTCACCACCTCTGGGTCTAGTGGCTGTCCCCCTGGGGTGAGCCAGGCTTTCTCCAGGACAGTCATGAACTCAGCTGTCTCCCTCTCTTAGTCCTATGAAGCTCAGAACAGTGGAGAGGAGGTGCCAGGTTACCACATCTTCCAGACCCACCCACTGGGATGGTCACACAGAAATGACTTAGGGGACCTGGCCCAAGAAACAAGTGACTGATGCACCTAGAAAAGTCCTAGGAGTGGACTGGAGGGAGAGGCATCTTCGAAGAACGTATTTAGTATCATGAGTAACACAGACAGACAGATGGCCTAGGTCCCAGCTCTGCCACTTATTCTGGCACTTTAGGGGAGTTATTTACATCTTGCTCTTTGTATGTTTGAAAAGGGGACCATAACCACCTGCTCATAGGGCTGTGAGGGTTAAACAAGATGGGATGAGTGTTTAGCAGAGTGTTAGTGCATATTCGCTACTGTTTATTTCATGGGGGGTGGAGCCAAGAAAAGGGAAGGGACCAATTTCTAGATGCTTTCTATATTTGCTTGTATTTTAATGAGAAGTGAGGGTAACATACCAATGACAGAGACATGAGTCATACGAGGAGTCTAGGCTAGAAAAGCACTCAGCCCCCAAGCTCTGGAGAAAGACTTCCCTTCTTCACTGGGCTTGGTAAGGCGCGTTTTCCCAAGGATTTCCTTGGGCCTGAGGTGCCCTGTTAGGAGCACCCGCTCCTGGGCGGGAATGTGGGGGCACCACCATGGACAGGATGGGTGAAGGTAAGGAGTGAAGAGTGAGGGAATTCAGGTTTAGGAAAGAGGGTGGGAAATCAAAGATGGAAAGAGAACAAAAGGTGAGAAGTTCATGAGAATAATACAGAGCGGTCATAACTTTTGACAGGCAGGGCAGGAACAGAGGCGTGGTTCCCTGCCGGGCCATCAGGGTGCTGATGGGAACCCTGGGTCTGGAGGAGGCTGGCAGCTTGTTTCCTCTGCCGCTGCTCCTGGAAGAAGAGGCAGAGTGCCCCCAGGCTCCCTTTGTCTCTCCCTAGATGGTGGAGGCCAGTGAGTCCCTCCAGGCCCACCACACGTGCCCTCAGTGTGAGTTCTTCCTCCCGGATGAGCCCTGGGAATGGCCTGGCTTCACCCGACAAGCCTACCACCAGCTGGCCCTGAAGAGACCACCCTGCACAGACATGAAGTCCAAGGTACACCACCGCCTAACGCACCCTTGGAAGGATATGACCGAGCACACGTGGGGCTTTCACACGTGGCTTGACGTGGGGCGCTTGCCAGCCACTTTTCCCACCAGGCCCGACAGGCCCTATGACAGTAATGTCTGGCGCTGGCTGACGGACTCCAGGGCCCACTGCCGCCCTCCCGCAGAGCCCCCCATCCCCCCTCCCTCCTGGATGGGTCAAAACAGCCTTCTGACCTTCATCTGCTGCAGTCCTCCTATCTTCTTGGATGTGAATAGGAAGAGCCAGGTGATTTTCAGGACAGTGAAGGAACTAAGAGAGATGGAGAAACTCAAGCTAAGGAGTGAAGCAAGGGCACCTCCACTTGATGCCAATGGCAACATCCTGCCCCCAAAGAACTTCAAGAAGTAAGAGGTGCTCCTTCCTCATGGAGCTCACCCACCTACCCATATTCAGGTGACCCCTCCCTCTCTCTGCTTCCTGTTTCTGATATCTAACTTGGTACGCTAACCTTCCCACCTCTGGTCACCTGAAAACTAAACCCTGTTCTGAATGTAGCTGGAGGGAAGGGATGGAGGCCAGGGAAGGACAGCCAGGAGAGGGGCTCAATTATTTAACTAAAATTAAGGGGACACAACCATGTCCTTAACACCTGCTAGGCCCTGGGGATACTGAGAAATGTCATTCAGTCCCTGCCTTCAGGGAGCTTATGAAAGGCAGGTACCTACCTACGTACATGCCTAGAAAGAAATCTATCAATACAAGCCCACACGTGCTAAGTCCCCAAAGTGTGAGACACAGGATGGGTGTTGTAAGGACGTCAGTTATTAATGGAAAAAGCTGAAAGCTGGAGTCAGAGGCTTGGATTAGAGTCCAGACTGTGTCCCTTTGGCAAATTGTTTAGTTTTTCCAGACTCAATTCCATTGTTGATTGTTGATAATTATCCACAAAATAGGGATGGTAAAAACCATGCCTACCTCAACAGGCGAAGATAAAGTGGCTTAATGAATATACGAAAGCACTGAACAAAACGTAGATGTTATTACAGAAATTCAGCCGAGGGAGGGAGGGAGGGATGGCTGTGGGCTAGAGCATCCTCCCAGGAAGGCTTCATGAAGAAATGGATGAAGACTGGAAGGGTAGGAAGCCTTCAGAAAGGCAGGAAAGAGGGCTGGAGAGTCAACTGGGTTGAGCAGAGACAGGAATGTGAAAGGAGCTATTCGAGAACCCCATAGTTCTCCCCTCCTTGCCCACCGTGGGAACTCACGGATATTGCCATACTGGGTCCTGTCCAGGCACTGAGTATGAGTGGCCGGAAAGGAGGAAAGGAATAAGGAATGGAATGTCTCAAATTCCAATCCCAAGGGCATTAACAGGAGCACTGAGAGGTTGGAGGGGGAGGCTGTGGAGATCTGTAATCTTAAAAAAACAATGCCAACAGTTGGTGATTTTGAGGGATGGCTTTTTAGGACCTTGGCTTCTCTCTACTGTCCCTGCAATGAAGATGATTGATGGCTAATATGGGCCAACACTAAGCACACAAAGGTGAAGACTTAGATCACCCCTCAAAAACATAGTCAAATGATAGTGCCAGATGTTGTTCTAATCACTTTAACTGTATTATTTCCTCTGAATAGAAACTATTATTATCAACCCCATTTTGCAGATGGGGTATCTGAAGTACAGAGACTCAACTATCTTGCTTATGATCACACAGCCGATGAGTGACAGATTTGAACCCAGGGAGCTCAGCTCCAGAGCTGCATTCTTACCCACTATGCTCCACTCCGCTCTTGTCTGATTAGGGAATCAGACAAGTTCACAGTCACTTCTAATAGAACAGAATGGTCTATAAAGGCAGTACAGTAATACCTCGGTTTGCGAGCATAATTCGTTCCGGAAACAAACTATTCGTATTGCAAGACATCACTGGTTTACCAAGTTAAAATGTATTATTAGGTTTAAAATGTATTATTAGTTTGGTGCAAAAGTAATTGTGAGTTTTGCCATTACGAATAATTACTTTTGCACTGACCTAATAGAAATGTGTGCTCGTCTTGCGGAACACTCGCAAACCAAGTTACTCGCAATCCAAGGTTTTGCTGTATAAGAAAAGACAATTAGCCATAAAAGGCACTCAGCACAGTGCCTGGCATACAGTAATGGTGTGTGATGGCAGGAGCAGCGTGGCCTCTGGGGTCAGGCAGGTCCAGGTGGGACTCTACCTAGCTCTATCACAAACTCGCTACACAACCTGAATCTGCTCAAACTCTTTGAGCCTCAGTTTCCTTGAGTATGTATTGGACACAGTCCATGCAGGGTTTTTAGAAGATTCCTAGGCACAGTGCCTGGCATATAGAAGGGGCTCTATAAATCGTGTCATTATTAGTACAGCGTCTCCACAAGAGAAAGAAGGATCCTGGTTTCGCTTATTGCTGCTGTAGGCCCAGCTCCTAGAGCAGGAATGAAGGCATGAGTCTCAGACAAGGCTTTGCTATTCGCAGAGGAGGAGGTACTTGAGCTGGCCCTTGAAGGATGTGTACAAGTTCACCAGGTGGGAACAAGAAAGAGCGGTGAGAGCAAAGGCCCACCCAGCCCTGTTGTTCCACTTGAGCAGCTCTATTAGGAGTTAAAGTAATTGTGAAAATGGCTCTAGATCCATGAGAGAGCACATTGGGAGCATGAGAGACCCAGAGGACTTCAGACAAGGTCTAAGCCTCAAGGTGCCCATGATCTTGCTGGGAAATAGAACAATTTATATACTCGTAAACCCAGTCATTCTCTGGTCTGGTAGTACACTAGGGCCTCTGTAGAAAAATGTTGAGGTTTGCGCCCCACCCGGGAGATTCTAACTTACCTGGCCTGGGAAGGCAGGAAGGGCAGCCTGGGTACTAGTATTTTGAAAAGCTGCTGAGGGTGGTTCTGACATGCAGCCTGGCCTGAGAAACTTTGATGTAAACCAAAGACAAGAAATGGGGATATCTTCTGAACCAGGGGCAAAGCACGTTGAGCCCCAGGAACTTTGCCGCTATTCAACTATGGTTTTTAAAAAGTCAATTTCAGGCCGGCTGAGTGGCTCAGCTGGTTAAGAGCTCGCTTGGAAGCACCAGCTCTGAGCAGCAGGGCTGTGGTTCGGATCCCACATTGAGGGCCAGTGACACTCGCCCTCTACAGCTAAGATGGTGAACAACAGCTCGACCTGGAGCTGGGCTGCTGTGAGTCACCAGTGATGGCAAAGGCAGCAGCAGGGCTGCAGTGGGCTGCCGTGAGCTACGTGAGTGGCCAGCAGCCAGTGAGCTGCCGGGAGCCGCTGTGAGTGGCCAACCAATGACCAGCGACCGATTACCTCACCCGGGAAGAGCGCAATGATGATACCAACATTGGCCAGTGAAGCAACGTCCTCCACAACTAGACTGAAGAACAAAAGGACAGCAACTTGTCTGTTCCCCTCCCCCCAACTCCCCAATAAAATCTTTTAAAAATAAATAAATAAATAAAAATAAAAAGTCCATTTCCCACAGTTGAACTTAGTACAACAGGTCTGTAGAAGAGGGAACCATCAGACCAGGTGTCGGGAGGCAGCAGGTCAGAGCGGGAAGGGCTCTTGGATAGCATCACATTCCCCAGTGATGAGAAGGAGACTTGCGCTGAGTTCACTCTCCTTCCCACCAGCACTGCATTAGTGGAGGAGGTGGGGCTTGAAGGATAGATAGAATCTGGATAATGATATGACCTACGATATGTCAAAAGGCTGGAAGATTGACCAGATAAACACAATTATTCTGGCCTAATGCAAACACGCACACACAGGGTACAGGCCATTTGGAATAGATCAATGTCCAATTAGGAAAAGAGAAGGAAGGGATTCCCCACACCCTGTCGCTCACTAGCTTGTGGAAGGCAGCAACATGGCGCTCTCCCACCTCACCCCCCCTACCCCCGCTTCCACCATACCTGATCTCTCCTTTGACCTCTCTGTTCTCTCCACACCCTCTCCCCCCACAGGTACCGACACATCTCAACTGGTGGGAGGTTTGAACCCCTGGGCCTCCAGCTCCTGCCCAACCCACTTCCCAGCGATTCTGCCAGGAGCTGGCCGTGCCCCAACCCTCTGCCTCATTACCAGGAGAAGGCGCTAAAGCTGGCCTTGCTGCCCAGTGCACCCCTGGGCCAGGACCTCGTGAGCAACTACCAAACCCTGATAGTGGATAGGGCTGCCTTGCCCCTCCACCATCTCTCCAAGGCACAAGCCTTAGCGAGGAAGAGAAAGAGAAGAACTGGACACACCTAGAAAAGCTTCCGGGTGAGCGGAGACCATGGTGGGCAGACAGACTCCCAGGCGCCAGTGTTCTCAACCAACGTGTCTTTAGCAAGAAGCCTTTGGGGTGTCTGAAGGACTCTGGCTTCTGCAGAACATAGCCTCTCCACCATCCCCCCAACTTCAAGCCACCTCTGTAGCCCAGGCTCCTCAAGAATCTACTGAAACCTTAAATTGTTATCTGTCCTCCTTGGAGGACTCTCTCATAGCAGGTGGGAAGACTGAGGGGTGGGTAGAGCAGAGAGAGCAGAAGGGGGATCCAGTTCCTAGGAACAGAACGGGGAGTGGGGAGGAAGACCGTGTGTGTGTGTGTGTGTGTGTGTGTGTGTGTGTGTGTGTGTGTGAGTGGGGGAAGAGGCGCTGTAAGAAATGTAGTCAGAAGTTACCTCTAGGGCCTGCCGAGTGGCTCAGTTGGTTAAGAGTTAGCTTAAGAGTGTGAGCTCTGAGCAACAGGGCCACTGGTTCAATTCCCACATGGGCCAGTGACGCTGCACCTGAGCTGAGCTGCCACTGAGATGCCAACAGGTGGCAGAATGGCTCAGCTGGTGAGAACACGTGCTCCTAACAACGAGACTGCCTGTTTGATGGTGGGCTATGCCCGCCCGCAACTAAGATTGAACTCGGCACCTTGAGCTTAGAGGCCACAAGCTGCTGACGGGCAGCCAGATGGTGCTGGCACCCTCCACAACTAAGATTGAAGAACAACTTGGCTGTTCCCCTTCCCCAGTTCCCCAACACTGATCCCGTCCCGCAATTCCCCAATTAAAAAAAAAAACAAAAACCTTACCTCAACTTCCATAGCCCTGCCCATTGAAACAAGACTGGGATTGGTCAGGGTACAGAAAGCTTCTTAGCAAAAATCATCTTGATGTCACTCCTCCCTGGACCATTTGATGTCTGGACAAAGACTGGAAGCAACTCTGCTGGGTTGCAGGTCCCATGCAGGGTTTGGGGGAGCAGAGGCCAGGCCAAGGCTGGTGTTGGAGGATGGAAGAATCAGGTCTGAGGAAGGCTGACCAGGCCTCCTAGGAGGGACAGGAGTAGAACAAAGTAGAGATTCAAAATAAAGGTCAGGGTGGTCCCCCCAGGGCATTACCTGAGGGCCTTGGGCCTGTGCTACAGGTGACCACAGATGCCTCAGCTTTTAGGCCAGGGACAAGTGGCCTAAAGTGGAGGCAGATGAAGCACATTGGTAAAAAAGGTGCTGACCTCGGCTGGGGTGGGGGAAGGCCTGCAAGTGACCCAGTGAAGGTAGCAGCAGGAAGGTGACTGGAGAGGGAGCCTCTTGTCCCCATCATACCCAAAGTTGGTGACTTTCCCCAGCTGGGCCTCTCCTGGCCTTCTGCCCACTGCCTTTTCTCAAGCCCTGCAGGCACCTGGGAATCCAAACAGCACCAGGGTTCCAGCCCTGGTTAACCACTAAACAGCTATGTGACCTTTGGGAAGGTCATGGCTCCCTCAGGCTTTCAATTTTATCATCTGCAAAGTAGGAGCCACTAGGGAATAAATAAAATCATGTAAGTGAAGTACCTGCAAAGTGTCTGGCACATTGTGGACTTTCCATGAATGAAGCTATGAACCTTTATTCCTAGAATAAAAGTAATAAGTGGGTGGAATATTACTCATCCATAGAAAGAAATGAAGTACTGATTCATGCTACAATGTAGATGAACCTTGAAAACACCATGCTGAGTGAGAGAAGTGAGAAAAGGCCACGTATTGTATGATTCAATTTATATGAAATGTCTAGAATAGGCAAATCCATAGACACAGAAGGTAAACTGGTAGCTGCCAGGTGCTGGGGGAGGGGAGGATGGGGATTGACCGCTTGATGGGTTCAGGGTTTTCTTCTGGAGTGATGAAAATATTTTGGAACTAGAAGTAGTGGTTGTACAACATGATGAATGAACAGAATGCCACTGAATTATATACTTTAAAATGGTAAATTTGGTGTGAGTTTCATCTCAATTAAAAATAATTACAATAGGGACCGGCCGAGTGGCTCAGTTGGTTAAGAGCTTGCTCAAGAGTGCGAGCACTGAGCAACAGGGTTGCCGATTCGATTCCCACATGGGCCAGTAAGCTGCACCTGAGCTGAGCTGCTGCTGGGCTGCCAACAGGTGGCAGGATGGCTCAGCTGGTGCTCCTAACAATAAGATTGCCTGTTCGAGATGGTGGGCTACGTACACCTGCAACTAAAAGACTGAACTCGGCACCTTGAGCTGAGCTGCCGCCCAGGTGGCTCAGTGGATAGAGCGGGCTCTTAACAACGAGGTTGCTGGTTCAATTCCCGCATGGGATGGTGGCTACGCCCACCCACAACTAATTAAACACAGCACCTTGAGCTGAGCGATGCAACTGGACTTGGAGCTGAGCTTGCTGTGCCCTCCACAACTAAGATTGAAGGACAACAACTTGGGTGTTCCCCTCCCCCAATTCCCTAACACTGTCCCCCTCCCCCAATTCTCCAATAAAATCTTAAAAAATAATAATAATAATAATTACAATAAATATGGTATATACAGAGAGTTGCCAGATTTCCTTATAGTTCCAAATCTGTAACTCTATTCAACAATCCTGTTTGCTAACTCTGTCAATGGTATATGTGTGGGTGGGTGGGGAGGACCAGAGCTGGGGGTGAAGGAAAATTTCCTGAGGACTCTAGGGACGTACTGGGGCTCTGGGAACCTACCCATTCTCTCCACTCTGGACTAGGAATGGTGGTAGGAAGGAGGAGGTCCCTTTACCTAGGATCCTAACGTGACAGAGTAGGGCTGGCCAATAGAAAACCACCTCAGTGTGTAGATGGTAAACCAGGACTCAAGGAGAAGTGACTTCTCCAGGCCACAAAGCCAGGCAGTCTCTGCCTCCTGGCTGGAGAACACGAGGCCCAGGGCTTGGAGCTAGGCACCTGGGCCTATGTTGTCATCTTCCTTCTCAGGCTACTTGCCCATGATGCCAGGGTTTTGTCACCTTCACAGTGAGAGGCCCAGGGGATACTTAGAGGGTTAATATGAAGATTTGGGGGTGAAAGGAAGGAGGCCATTGGAATTCTTCAGAGAAAGCCACCTACTCTCTGGCCTGGGGCTGGAGGAGAGCAGAAAGGTAAGCTGCATTTACACAGGCTCCTGCCTTGGCAGACCCAGACCACCCCAGAGGCTGCCAGCCTCACAGCAGAAGGACTTCCACCCACCTACCACTTTTCTGCTCTACTCTCTGGATGGTCGCTTCCTTTCTGCTGGCAGGAAGACAACAACGCTATGAGGGGCCCTCTTGTCCAGCAGCCAGCTAGAGAAGTGGAAGCAAGACTCCTGAAATTCCTGAACTCCACTGGGCCATGGAGATCCGGGGGCAACAATAACATCTACACGTCCTCCTGGGCCTATGAACTTTGTAAAGCAATCCCCAGCTCAGCCTGCTAGCAACCATGCACACCACCCCCAACCCCACTCTCCCATGTACCCTAATGAACATGGAGTTCTGGAAAGCTTTTGGTGGGGTGGGATTGGGGATCCCTGTAACCTAGGTCTGCCTTAAAGACTTGTTCTCTCACCAGAACACAGAGTATATCTGAAAGAGAGGCAGGGACAGACATCCCTCCCCCCGCCCCCTACACACACAGACACACACCCAGCACGCCATCCCATGGGACGAACATCCTTTGCTCTGCGGAATGCCACCAGCTTCATAGATCCTAATTAATCCCAGCACAGAGGCCTTCAGGGTCACTTCAGGTCAACTCCCCTTCCGCAACCTTCCCTTCCCTAAACCCAGGTTTGGTCTCATGAGCTGGGTTACTGAGGCCAATTCAGGTTCCTAAGTTTCTGGGAGCCTGAGGAATGGTTGGGGGACAGTGAGTGTTGGAAGCTGTGGGGGCTGGGAACCCCTGGGGGAGATGCAGGGCCAACCACTTTGCCAATCATGATCTTCAGTCTTCAATCTTCACCTGGCTGTCTCCTATCTAATCACCATGCCTCAAAAAGCCCCATCGCTGCTCCCTGAGATGGCAAATCAGAGCCAAAATCATCTCTCCAGCCTGCCCCAAACTCACTTCCCACCTTCCCCAGGACACTCTGGCCTCTTGTTTCTACTCATCGCTGACTCACTCGTTCAGGCCCTTTATTTTCCTGCTTCTCTTCTACCTCTGAGCCCTTTCCTAGTTGTACCGTCTACTGAGCCACATATATTTACTCTTCATTACACCATGTGAGTAATTTCGGCTGCTTATTTATCATTATATTCAGTGGTTTCTGTGGCTATTCATATACTTGCCCATCTCAGTTTAGTCTTCAGCCAACACACTCCCTGCAGGCACTAGGACAGACCCTCACAAATGCTATGTGCTTGTAAGATAATGCTGCTGCATGTTGCCATTGTTCAAATTCCAAGGTAGAAGTTTTGATGTGGCTTCGCTTAGCCCACGATCATTTTCCTGGATGATCACTGAACACTAGGTATAATGGCAAGGTTCCTAGATAATAGTCAGTGACTTCTTCAGCACGAGGATCACTAGAAAGTGGAGGTCATGTCCAGGGGTGCCAAGGGCAGGCCCACAGCTTAGGCAAGAAGGAAGAAAAAGATGGAGAGATATTGAAACAGGGAAGGAAATAGATAAACACAAGAGGGAGAAGAGAAATGCTGATACCAGAGGAAGGCGGAACAGGAGTCTCTGTCAGAGCTCAGAGGTCCAGAATGTTTGGAAAGAGTTGGGCAACTCTAACAGATTCTCTGAGAGCATTTGCAGGATAAAAATTAGGGTACAGAGCCCAGAAGATGAGGGAGATTGGCAAATAATGGGGAGATGAGTAAAAAGGGTGATTGCCCTTGAGTGTGTGCCTATGACATCATCAGGATTCTGTGACTGAAAAAATCAGGTGGGGAACTCAACCAGCTGTTCCAGGGGCTGATTACCCGAGTAGCTGGGGGAACAAGTGGCACGTTTCCTCCTGGGTCCTCTGGAGTCCTGCTGAACAATTCACTCAACAAATTTTGTGTAAGAAGAGAGAGAAGAGACAAACAAGCAAACACAAAAACCCTCCCCTGGCAAAGCCTAAGATCTAGTGGGAAGATACAGAAGTAAATAATTAAAATAGTGGGAGGAGTAATGTAATAATAGATACCCGATCCGGTTGTACTATGAGAGCAAATGGGAGTGACATCTATGCCAGTGAGTGTGTGTGTGTGTGTGTGTGTGTGTGTGTGTTGCAAGTACACACATGTGTATTTGTATAGTTCCCAAACAACAGCAAACATTTACTCAGCACTTACTATGTGTTAGGCAAAGTTTTGAGAGCTTTTCACGAATCAACCCATTTAATTCTAACAACACTATGAGGTAGGTCGCGTTATGATCTCCATTTTAGAGATGAGTCAGCTGGGGCATAGAGAACTCTTAACCATTTTGCTATTCTGTTTCTCATTTAAACTTCACGGCAATTCTACA